TGGTCAAACATTTATAACGAAAAAAAAAAAAAAATCAGAAATTAGTTTGAGGCTAAATTAATCTTGTTGTTGTTGTTGTTGTTGTTTGACCAAAAAATGATTGAATACTTTTTTGTTTACCTTCAAATTCGATTTTATGATTGAGTAAAAATTTTTTTTTGCTTGTTTGACTTGATTCTTAATTAAAGTTTCACTCTATTGTCACACACACACACACACACAATTGACCGTATATACGAAAGATGCACAAAAAAAAAAAAAAAAAAAAAAAGATTTGCATTGCTGTATGGCATGTTGTTGTTTGTTGACATGAATTGAATTGAAAATTTTTTTTCATCCATAAATGTGACACCAGAGAGAGAGAGAGAGAGAGAGAGAGATAAAACTTGCCATCATTTCTGTACAATCCAATCATATATCTTTTTGCTTGCTTGTGTGTTTGTTTGGCTACAGGGTGAAAAAAAACTCTGTGTGTGTTTTTTTTTTTTTTTTGGATATTCTCTCATCATCATCATCATCATTTTTTTTCTTCATTCTGATCATTGTGATATAGAAGAATAAAGAATGAGTGAATGATAAAAAAAAACATATTTCACTGTGTGTGTGTGTGTATGTGATAGCTATTCAAAAATTTTTCTTTCTTTCTTTCTCATTTCATTCACATTTTTTTTTTTTTTTGAATAAGATGAATTGGATCGTTGGACAGTAGTGGCTGGCTGGCTGGCTGGCTGTTGTTGATGATGACAGCATGTGTGTGTGTGTGTGTGTGTGGTATAGACACTATCAGCGCTATTTTCATTTTTTTTTGTTCTGAATTCTTGAATGTGATGCTTAGCCGTAATGATGATGAATTTTTCTGGTCTATGTATTTATGTAGACCAAAAAATCACATTGAGTTTATCAATATTGACCAACAAAAAGTTTATCAAATAGAAAAAATTTAAGCCTGAAAAAAAACTGAAAATTGACACCTTTGTTTTCTCTTTATGACACACACACACACACACACACATGTTGAAATAATCGCCATCATCATCATTGTTTCCATTTCCAAAATGATCCAAACGATAAACCAATTTGGACAATGTAGACAAATTAGATCAGTTTCGGTTATGGTTATGGTTATGGTTATGGTTTCATTTTCAACAATGACCACAAGATTATCTATCTATCTGGTGATCATGTTTACAAATGGCACGAGACCATTTGCTGTTTTTTTTTTTTCGTGGCAAAAAAAAAAAAAATTTTTCAACTTTTTATTTTACATGGTTAATTATTTTACAGAATTAGAAAAAAAATCAATGCAATCAGATCCATTGGAAATGGATCAAAGTCTACTCTTCATTCGGAGCCGCGCGGCTGATTATCATTGTCATATGAACATCATCATCATCATCATCAATATTCTTGGTTATTTTTTTTTTTTTTGTTTTGTCCGATATTTTTTGTTTTTCGTTCGGCCAGGAAACTGAAAAAAAAATTAAACGATAATGTGTGTGTGTGTGTGTGTGATACAAAGCCGAACTATTTACTTGGCTGATAGCTTTTTTTTTTTTTTTGGTTGGTAGTTTTGTGATATTTTCGGTTCATTTTCGATTCGGTCATGTGTGTGTGTGTATGATTAGACAATAAAGAAAATAAAGAAAATGAAGAAAAAGAAGAAGAAAAAGACTGTCAGAATTATGATTAATAAGGTTTGCGTGCAGCATTGAAATGTGTATGTGTGTTGTGTGTGTGTTTGATCCATGCCAATATTTTGAAGGTTTTTTTTCTATTTTGGTTGTTTGGTTGGTTGGTTGATTGGCAGTACAATGTTCCTCTGCTCATTGCTGTTTACGTCCTACACTATTTTATTTTATTTTTTGTTTTGTTCTGGCGTTCTAGTCTCGGGTTTTTTTTCTGGTTTTGCTTCCTTTCCATAGGAAAAATTTGTGGGAAAATAAAGGCTGCTTTGTTTTGTTTTGTTTTTTTTTTTTCATGGAAACGAAAGAATAGAAATTTTTCCATTTTTTTTTGCTGGTTGGTTGAATAAATGAATGAATAAATGGATCCGCTGTATATATATTAAAAATATGGCAAAAAAAAAAAAAAATTTCTACTTTCCTACACACACACACACACACTGCATATTGTCAAAGTCAAATTTTGTAGTTGTCATCCAAAATGTTAAGATGTTGAAATGGAGAATCCAAGTCCAAGAATTGAGAATTTTTTTTATCATTTGGATCCTATGATGAATAATCATTATCATTGATGATGGTCATTTTTTGTTCGTGTGTATGAAAAAAAATGAATGAAACTCACCCTTGTTCTCATTTTTTTCTTTATTCTATCTACCTGTATAGAAAATGTTTTTTTTTTATAAATCCAATTTGAGAACCAAAATCTTACATATATGAGTTATATATCTATGAAATTTTTTTTACGAATGGTCACGAATAAACACTGTGTGAGAGAGTGGTAAAATTCCATATTTTTTTTCTTCTTCGTTACAAAATAAAAAAAATTATCATCATCATCGAAGCTGAATATAGATGGCTTGATTAAAAATTCTTTTTATTCAATATTTTCATTCATTTATCCTCATATATAAGAGGAAAAAAAATATCCATGAAATTCAGAAGAAGAAAAAAAAAATTCTTTTCATCATCATCATCATCATCATCATCATGATCAAAAATCTTTTGTTTCTTTTTATTTCTCTCTCTCTCGTTTTTAATCATCAAGACGAAAAAAAAAATTATTATTATTATTGCTTCAAGCATGATGTTCATCATTATCATCATCTTGGTTTGCTTTGATTTGCTTTGATGATAATTACAATGATGATGATGAACCATACATACATACAGATGGAACATGTAATTATTTTTCAATTTATTGGCTTGGCTTGGCTTGTTTTGGCTTGGCCGTAACAATTATTTTCTCTGTGTTTAATACCTATAAGTATATTTATACTTTTTTTGGTATTTTACCTTTGCAGCTCTATACTTACACACACACACACACATAGATGCATACATTTATTTCATAAAAAAAAATCGTGTCCATACCTTTGATTTACAAACATACACACACACACACACACACAGGATATATATAACTGAAACGAAACGAAGATCACGCTTTTTACAATTACAATTACCACCACAACATAGTTGAATAGTTTATATATCCTGTGTGTGTGTGTGTGTAGTTTCTTATATTTTTTCTTTGGTTAATTTTCTATTTTTTTTTATTTTCGATTCCAAACTTGAATAAATGAGAAACAAAGTATATAATATATATGCGCTGCCCAGTTGAAAGTTATTATTAAATTTAAATTTTCTTTCTTTCTATCTTTCTTTTTTTCATTTGATTTTATCTATTTTCAGCCAAATTGCTGTTTTTGGTTGTTTGTTATATAGTTTTAAACATTGAATTTCCATTATAGGCTCGAAATTTTTACATTTTTTTTTTTACGTTTCATATACAGACAGATACAGATACAGATTCTATGTGTTTGTTTGTATGAAGAATAAGATTATTATGGTAAGATGATAGCTTTGGTTGACTTTTGATCGGTGATTGACATTTTTTTTTTTTTTTTTTTTCTTGAATTTCAATTTTTGACAAATGTGTATAAGCGCATTTGTGCAAATAAAACCACTGTTTTCGATCTGTTTTGAATTTATGGAATGTTTCGTTTTTTTTTGCAATGAATTTTAAATTTTTAAATTTCCAAATGGATCCAATATTTTAAAATCGAAAAAAAAAATTGCGTGACAAAAATTCACCAACAACCAGAATGATGTGCATGTATGTGTGTTTCCTGTGTCTGACTTGGCCAATTTGTTGGCTAGCAATTCAAAATCCAGGAAATCCATGAAACAAAACAGAACAAAAAAATTGGGCTGATGAATTAAGATTCGACCGATGACATGAGATATTTATCATACCCGTTGGCTGATTGAAATGAATGATTGATTTTTTTCTTGTCTGTTTAGTTGTTGCATTCTTTATTTGATTGATTGATTGATCATAATTGGATGAATTGATTTTTAATTTCTCATTCACCTGAAACGCAAAAAAAAATCCAAAAAACTTCAATTCAATCATTTTTTTTTTGCATAGTTAATAGCGATGATGATGATAAAGAATTTTAATCTCGATAATAATAATAATGATAATAATGATAATTTACATGTGTATTTGAATCAGAAAAAAAACGAAACGAAACGAAAAAAATTCATGTCAATTATCAGATGATTTTCAGTGTGTCTGTGTCTGTGTCTGCTTGTTTGCATTATACAATCAAGAGAAAAAAAATATCAAATAAAAATTAGTGATGATAAATCAAAAATCAGAATCAGAATCAAAAATTCAAATTTAGAATAAATTAACATGCCATTATTAGTTTTTTTGTACATCACTTTTCGTTTTTTTTTTGGTTTAGTTTGGTATAATGATAATGATATAGATTCTTCTTTGCAGAATCCTCTGGTCTTATACTATTCTCACAACAACATATATATGTATATGATACATGAACAAATACACAAGAATGGACACGAAAAAAAAACCGAATTAAATAAAGAATATTCCTCTCTCTCTCTCTCTCTCTCTGTGTTTAATTATTGAAAAATTAAGTAGCTAAATTGTAATTTAATTATAATTCTAGTAGTATGTGTGTGTGGGTGTGTGGGCGTTTGTTGTGATGATGATGATGATGATGATGAAATTTTTCATTTTTTTTTTATTCATGTGGAATGATTTTATATTGATTTTATTGTTAATTGTTCACGTTATATATGTTTCCCGAATGTTTTTTACACATATGAGTTTTTTTTTGTATTTTTGTTTGCACCAAATTGTTTGTTTTTTTTTATCGATGATTTATAATGATAATATTGATGAATGATGATGATGATGATGATGATGATGATGATGAATTGAAATTGATTAAATGAATTTTCAATTTTTAACATTTAAATTGAATGAATGATAACCACACACACACACACACACGCACACACACATATATCAAATGCCTGATAAATATTCATTTATTTACAGCTGACCGGATGTTGTTGATCCACCACCATCGCTTAATTTTGGTGATGCTGCCGATGCTGGATTCGATGAATCTGAATGTATGGAATTGGAAATAGTTGGTGGCGATGTTGAATGATTATCCATTGGTACAAGACCTTCTTTTTGGCGTTTTTTTTGTTTCATACGACGATTTTGGAACCAAATCTTTATTTACATGAGTACGTGCGCATGCGTGAATAATTTATTTAAATATTTTAAGGGGAAAAAAAGATAAAAAAACATTATTTAGTTTAGTAAATTCAATCAGGAAAACAAAAACTATGTGGTTTTTGCCAAATTCGTGCCAAACACACACACACACACACACACAGCTGAAACTTTTTTTTTCTCTATATGCCCCAAAACAATTGCATCTGTGTTTGTGTGTGTGCATGGATCACACACACACACACACACACACACACACACACACACACACACAACAGCTGGAGACAATAAGTTGAAAACTTTAACAACAACAACAAAAAAAGTAAAAAGTAAAAACTTATGCCGTTTGATGTGAATGAATATCATCATCATCATCATCATCATCATCATCATCATCATTGAATGAAATGTGAAATGAAAAAAAAAGATGAAAGTTCAAATAAAACAGTGGAGAAAATAAAAAGTTCACATCAACAACAACAACGACAGAAACTAAAAGACTAAAAGTTCGTTCGTTCAAAGTAATTTTCTTTCATTCAATATACATTCTTTATCTTATATATAGGAAATGTATAACAAACTGTCGAACCGAGAAGACAAGACACACATGCTGTGTGTGTGTGTGTGTATGTTGCATTCACAAGACAATCGTATGTTTTTGTTGTTGTTGTTGTTGTTGTTTTCCACAATTGCCAATTTCTATTGTAGCTGGTTTTTGTTGTTATTTCGATATATAATAATAATAATGGAAAAAAAGGGAAAAACATTCGGGCTGAATATTTTCGTTTTTTTTTCTACTCTGATCAAGGATGATGATTTTGGCCAAAAGGCCAAAATATTAAAAAGAAAATACATATATTCGCCCTGTCATATGTGATATGATCATGTCCGCATTTGATTGTTTTACAATCGCGTATTTGATCAATTTTTTTTTGCATTTATATTTGACGGATGTTTAGCAAAATTTTTGTTTTGGCAAACGGTAACTGTGTGTTTACATTGAAATATGATTCTTTGAATGTTTGGAATGATTGAAAAATTCCAGCAAAAAGAATTTATTTTTTTGGCCAATATATATAAAAACTTACTTTGACTTGTGTTTCATTCAATTGTAATGCCGTTGCAATTTCAATACGTCTTGCACGTGTTAAATATTTATTAAAATGAAATTCTTTTTCCAATTCTGTCAATTGTTTTGTAGTAAAATTTGTACGGCCAGTATTATTTGCACCTTGACCTAGGCCATTGCCACCGATACCACCAGCACCACCACCACCAGTACCACCACAACCATTTGAAGAATTTGAACCCGGTGAATTCTGTGAATGCATTGAACCAAGTGTTGATGATCCATTATTGTTTAGGCCACCATTACTACCCTAATGGTCCTAATGATGAATTTGGTGATAGATTTCCATATGAACCATATGTATCGACAGGTTTTTGTGCTGTAAAAAAAAAAAAAATTTCAAAAATGAAAAAAAATTAATGAATAAAAAAAATGGTGAGAACAACAAGGAAACAAAACAAAAAAAAAAAAAAAAAATGAAAATCTGGGACAACCGGTAGCCGTAAAAAAATTTGACTAATTCACTGGATCAATGAATCAATTTGTAATTTGTATTGAACATGAATGAATGAGTGAAGGAAGCAAGAAAAAAAAATTGTTTGTAATCATTGTGTGTGTTTTCATTGAATTCAAAACATTCATATCAAACAAATATGTCTATGTGTGTGTAGTTTTGTTGTTGTTGTTGTTGTTGTTGTTCCAAATGAATTTTTTTCTATTCTCCTTTTAGACAGTCCGATTATTAATAATAATAATTTTTTTTTCTGGATCACAACGGTAGAAAAAAAAACAGGAATGACTTTATGAATATAAAAAACAATTTATCATCACAACGATAATAACTAAAAAAAAACAACAACATGATGGTCATACACACAATGATCATTTATCATTTAGAATTCAAGAAAAAAAAAACACGTGTGGTTCTCGCGTACGACAAACTAAAATAAATAAATGAAAAACTCCATGATGTTGATAATGATGAATATATTGAAATGTGAAAATGTTTATTATGTTCACAATTTGACCATTTTTTCGTTTTCGTCTTCGTTCTTCTACTTGACTTTGGGTATTTTTTTTTTTTTTTGCTGTTTGGCTGAATGTAAAGAAAACTCTTCAAATGGTTCAAACAGAAATGAAAAAAAATTGAAATTGTAAGAAAAAAAAATAATTCATATTAATGATCCTTCCAGAGTGGAAATCTATGCCAGTCAGGATATATGAATTTTTGACAATTTGCATATATACGGGTTTTCATTTGTGATGAAAAATTATGTTTTCCATTTGTTGTTCGTACGTCGTCGTCGTCGTCGTCGACGTCTTATTATTTGAAGATCTAGATTTTTTTTTTTTGTTGTCTGTCTAACTGCGTGTTAACAACTTCATTTATTTTTTTTTTTTGGTAAAAGATAGACATTGATGGTATTGGATCATTTTTTATCTTTGTCTTTTTTTCTCCACATTTTGGATTGTTTGTTTACAGTATATATTTATTTAATATTTCAAAATTGAACAAATTCAATTTTTCTTTCTTGCTTTTCTGTTTTTTTTTCATTAATCTAAAATATCGAAAATTGAGTTGTTCAACAGCAAAAAAAAAATCACAAGGGACAGTAGGTAGTGGTGGTGGTCAAAATCAATGATCATTAATTATAAACTAAACCGGTAATATTCTAGTAGGTAGGTAGGTAGTTAATCACATTGAATATTTAATCAAAAAAAAAAAAAAATATGTCAATGTAGAAGAATGACCAATAATGATTCTATTCAATTCAATTCGTTTTTTTGGTCATTTTTTGTGTGTGTGTCGCTGGGAATTTTTTTTTCATTCTCTCTCTCTCTCTCTCTCTCTTGTTCTTTGTTTGTTTGGTCATTACAATGGCACAAAAACACAGGTGCTGGACCACACACATATATATATATATATATATATCATTATCAACAACAGTGTTTAACATATCAATTTAGTTTGAACAACAGAAAAAAAAATGAATTGACTCAAATGAATTAATTGATTTTTTTTTTGTTCAAAACCAACTGCCTAATAATATTTTTTTACCGGAAAACAAAATAGTTCATTATCATGCTGTGTGTGTGAACATGGAATTTCAGAATTTCAGTATATTTTTTCCACTAGAATCAGTTATAATCATCACGTATGATCATTATCATCATCATTATGATTAACACATGATTCTGGTTCGTTTTTTTTTTGTTCATTGATGATGATATATAGTTGATGGCAGTAGTGATGATGATGATGATGGTGGCTAGATTTACACTTAATTTAAAAGTAATTAGACTTTGTAAGCCCTTCGTTTTTTTTTTTTTTTTTTTTTTGGTTGAATTACGAAACAGCTTTTTGTGACTATATATAAAATGGTGTGCAAAGCTTGTTAGCAAAGTTGGCTAATGTATAGTAGTGTAGTAGTGTGTGTAGAAAGTTTATGTGTTTTTAATAATTTCGTCGCATCATCATCATCAACGTCAGGCTTGTGCTGAATTTTTTTTTCGATAAAAGAATTTCAGAATTCTGTAAAAAAAACGATTCTGTGTACATGTGTATTGTTGTCTCCTTTTTAAACAATAAATTTGCTTTATTATCCATTCATCAAAATTTGAATTTGAATTATGGCACTAATTATACAATGTTTGTGAATAAATATATTCAAATGAGATGAAAAGAGATGGAATTCATTTCATTTTTCCATTTTGACATAAAGAACAGAAAGAATCTATTCATTCATTATTGTTGAATATGAAAAAAAACTGTAAGATTCTTTTCTCTGTCTGTGAATTTGATCAATTTTTTTTCATTCTGTCGTTGTTGTTGTCATTCTTTATCGAATGGAATTTCACACATAACCAACAAAATTTATTCTCAACATGAATATTCGCTTTACAGCCAACAACGACAATAACAACAATGATACAAGCCATGTTTTTGTGTGTATATGTGTATGATATCCACTTTTTTCTTACATTTTTTTTTTCGTTTGTCGAGCACCATTTGGGAATTGAGTTGAATTTTTTTTCCACTCTGTTTTTTTGTTTCTTTGATATGATTTTAACGATTTGTATCAAAATCAAAAACAAAACACTATCTTCGATCTATTATAATGGTAAAAATTTGGGCAATGTTTGTAGCCACACACACACACACACACACACACACAGGGTTATATTCTAGTGAATAAAATGAATGAATGAATGAATGAATGAGAAACGAGAAGAGAAAAAAAATCTGTCGATTTTTTTTTGGTTAAAATTGATTGAGTAGCCACTTGGGTATATTTTCATCATCACAATCATGATGATGATAATCATGATCATCATCATTTTTTGCTTTTGTTATCGTTCAGTGTCGTTTGTCGTTGAAAAATAAACACAAAAATCATTTTACCATTATCTCAACACACACACACAAACTTGACACATAACGTATATTTGTATATGTATTCGTATCGAAATCACACTGATAGGTTGATTTTTTTTTTGTTCTTCAATGTTTTCAAATGTGAATCTTTGTGTAGTTTCAACAGGGAATCAGTTGAAATCCTCTCTCTCTGATCCTAATTGATTGATAAATGATTTCATTTTTTTTGTGTGCTTGTTACCTATTGTGTGCGTGTAATGACTGAATTTTTTTTTTTTTTTTTTTGTTTTAAAATCGAATAAATATAATACATACCTGGTTTAGGTATATTACGTTTAACTTGCATCCATTTATATTGCGGTACAGCTGTTGGTACTGTTGGTATTGATGGTGGTTGTGGTGGTGGTGGTTGTTGTTGTTGTTGTTGTTGTTGTGAAATATTCGTTGTTGATGATGTATGCACCATTGTTAATAGATTATTATTATTTCCGATTGAATTTTGATTAGAAGAATTTCCTGTCGATAATGATGATAATCGATTCGTTGGTGATGGTGATGTTGAATGATGTGATTGTGTTTGTTGTTGATGTTGATGATGATTATGATGATGTAACAATGATGGTGATGTTGATGATGATGGTGATGTACCATAATGATGATGATTATGATGTGCTGTATTCAAATGATGATGATGATGTGAATGATTCATATGTAAATGATGTGGATGATGATTTGTATGTTGTTGATGATAATGTGTTGAATGATGTGCTGTATGATTCATATGATGATGTGTTGTATGATTCATTGTTGATGGTAATGGTGGTGCATAAGTTCCGGTTACTGTTGCCATACCATTCATCTGATGACATGATGATGATGTTGATGATCCAATACCCATATCGATTGCCCATGGTGATGATGTGTTACCACCAATGATTGGATCAATTAATCCATATGCTGATGACGTATTTAATGAACCATTCTGTAAATGTGTTCCATTTGACATTATCGGACCATTTCTTGATGCTGATGGACGTCCTATTGTATCAAAATATGATGATGTTGATGATGAATAACCACCAATAAGATTTCCAGTGATTGAATCACTTGAATTGGATTGATTATTATTATTATTACCAGGTGATGTATTTCCACAATTATTCACCGGACTATTTGCTGTTTGTGTTAATGGATCAGGTGTACCACTACCGGAATCAGCACCACCACCACCCCCTGTACCATTACCATAATCTTTATATGATGAATGTGTAGGCGTTGTTGATGAAGATGGATATAAATTGGACATATGTGATGATGATGTTGGTGGTGATGATGATGATAATGGACTATTTCCTGATCCAGTTATCGTCGTTGTCGTCGATGATGTTGTTGATTGATATTGTTGACTGTTATTAAGTGCAGATCTTGCTGCTGCTGCTGTTGCTGATGATGATGATGATGATGAATGATATGATGAATGATTAGGCACCGGTGGAATATATTGATGATTTGTTGCTGATGATGCAGATGATGGTGATGTTGTTGAATTATTTGTTAGATCTAAATTTGTGTAACTAAGTCCATTTGTTTCCGATATTATTGGATTATTAGTCACATTCATTGATGATGGTGATGTTGATGTTGATGATGAATTTGTTGGTTGTTGTTGTTGTTGTTGTTGTTGTGTATCGACATTTGTTCCAAACGTTGTCGTTGATGACAACGATGATAAATGTGTTGGCATATGAAATGGTGATGTTGAATGATGATAATGATGATTTGTTATTGGTGGTGGTGGTGTTGTCGATTGTTGTTGATGTTGATGATGATGATGTAAATGTGAATGTGGATGATGATGATTTCCGATGGCTAAATTGGTACCATTGCCAAATCCACCATTACCAATTAAATCTGTTGTTGATACCGTTGCCGTTGTTGGTTGATAATAATTTGTTAAATCAGCTGCTGCTGCTGCTGCCGTTGTTGTTGATCCAAATGGATTATGGTGATGATGATATCCTTGATGATGATGATGAGCAACATGATGAGCAGCATGATGATTATGATGATGATGATGATGATGATGATGATGATATTCGGCAGCAGCAGCTGCGGCCGCAGCAGCCGCTGCAGCTGCCGCACTTGTTGTTGTAGTACCTACAACACCACCACCACCACCACCGCCAACAAGGCCATTTTGATGACATTGCATGGCAGCACTACCATAAACAATATTTGAGTTCATAATCATAGTTTGTTTTTCGGTTTTTTTTTTCAATTAAAAATTTAATTCAATTCAAAATTTGAAAATTATAGTATGTTCTCTTATAGGTATAAAATTATCATCAAGAGAAAGAGAAACAAATACACACATCACATGTCGGACACATAGAGAAACAAACCGAAAAAAAATTATTGACCAAAAATCGATATCGATCAATATGATGAAAATTCACACCATAATAGGCACCAGACACACACACACACACACACACACATATATATTCACAAATACACATTTGTCATGAAAAATTTGTGATGATGAATGAATATCAAAGTTTTTTTTTCTTGCTTTTTTTTCATATTCAATGATCGATGTATATGTCTATCTAAAGTTGGTGGTGGATTGTTCGGTCAAAAATAATATAATCTTCTTGTGTGTGTGTGTTTGATACAAACTTGAAAATCAGAAAAAAAATAAGAGTTTGCGGGAGAAAAAAAGGAAACAAACAGAAAAAAAATTGTTTTTTTCGTTTCAGAAAAAGAAAAAAATCAATCCTGATATGTGTTTGTCGTGTGTGTGTGTGTGTTTGAGTGTGTTTGTTGGTTGATCGAATGAGAAAAATAAAAAATTGCACAAAAATTTTTTTTTTTTTTTTGGTCAGATGGTTGCTGCTGTTTTTTTCAATTCAATTCTCATCATCATCATCATTATGGGCTGTGTTGTGTTGTTGTTGTTGTTGTTGTTATACAGGTATTTCAAGCTGTTGATGTTATGTTATGATGATGATGATGATGATGATGAAAAAAGTTGGAAAACTCAACGAATTTCAATTCAAAACGACAAAACAACAACAACAACAACAACAACAACAATCGATGATGGTGGAAAAAAAAGTTGAAATTTTTATTGTATAGTATGTGTATGTGTGTGTCTGTTTGATGGTGAAAAAAAAACTTGTTTCTCTTGAAAAACAAAAAAAAAAAAAAATTTCCGAAACTTTTCTCTCACTTTTCACTTATACTCTTTTTATTTTTGATAAAATGGTTGATTGAATGAATGAATTTTTTTTTCTTTCTTTCTAATTTGAATTCTCTAGCTTGAAATTTGAATTTTTTTTTCTCTCATTCATTCATTTCAATGTTTCGTGGTTCTCTATTGAATGTATGTGTGTGTGTGTGTTGTGTGTGAATTCGTGAAACACAAATACACAGAGTAACAAGTCATGCAAGTCTGAAAAAAAAATTCAACAGCAATTCTCCACCTTCATAAACATTTATATGTGTGTGTATGTGTATGCTACAAACACACAATGTATTTTTTATATATATAGATATAGCACCGCCCAAAATAAGGTTTGTCTTTAGCAATTCACATTCATTCTGGTTCTTCATAATAATTTTTTTTATTTACCAAAATACCCGATATTTGTTTGCGTATACGCACAATGTATACATACATAGCCGGTTTTTTTTTAATTTTGTGAATAATTCTATTTTGGGTTGATATTTGGTAGTAGTGGTAGTAGTTGTGGTGGTGGCAGTGGCTGTGGTATTGAATTTATCGATATCGATGATGATGATGATTATCGATGGTGCTTGGTTGGTTGGTTGAATACACTGCATAATATATATTTATATATTTCATAAATAAATTTTTTTTTGTTTTTATTTTTCAAAAATAAAAATGAAAATTTTTCTGCCGGAAACGAATAAATTATTATGATGATGATGAAACGAAAATTGCTTGTTTTTGGTTGAAAAAAATTTTTTTCGGTTAAATTCATGATGACCGCCAAACATATATATTATATATGTTTGTGATGGATGGCCAACCGGTTTTCAAATCCATAGTTTTCCTTGCATAACACTTGATTTGTTTGTATATATCAATAGCAATATCAATTGATTGATTATTGCCATACACATGTGTCTAGATTTGATTTCAATTAATTATTTTTAGTGATTAATTTGAATTATTAATTAGTTACAATGATTACAATATATAGGTAATAATAAAGGTAATAATTAGCTTATGATATGATCGATCCATCGTAGTAATTATCATTATTATTATTATTATATTATATCGATAATTGTCTATCGATCAGAGTCATTAATTAATTTTGTTTTCTTGTCAATTACCGATTGATTTTTTGGATTTACTATCAATTTTGATTTGGAATTTCATTATTCATCATCATCATCATTTTTTCATGGCCCATTATCCAAATGTGTGTGTGTGACATATAATAATCACATAATTCAACCGAAACAATTAATCAAATCGCATTACATTATTTCTGCCTACTTTTCAATGTATTTGGCTCGTGTTGCAAAACATTGCATGTAAAAAGTGATGATCTGATGACCGAATGATTAATTTTGGTCATCAGATAAATATCGATATTCTTTTTCCTATATGATGAAGAAAATTTTTTTTTAAATTTTTAAAATTATCACGATGAAAAACAAAATTATTAGATGCCGAATATATGAATATACATTGGTTTGATAATCATTGTCATCGAATAAACAAAAAATTGGCTCATCCATCATTGAACATCAAAAAAAAAAAAAAAAAATGCTACTTCGTGTGTCTTTTTCTCTCATTTTTTTTCGCTTTCATTTCGTTATCATTCAATGGTCGTTTGTATTCGAGGTTTTTTTTCTTCATTCATTCATTCATATCGTTTCGTTTCGTTTTGTTTCGTTTGTGTAAATCAAATCTGTCTTTGTCAAACAACAAAACAGCAACGAAAAAAAAAACAAAAACGAAAAACTCTGTGTCACAATTCTCAGTATCCAAAATATTCCACATTCTAAATTTTGTCCATCGTTGTTGTCGACAAATGTTTTTGTTGTTTATATGGTAACACGCACCAACAACACACACACACACACAATGTGGTTCAATTGTTTTGTTTTGTTTTTCTGGTCAATATATCGTGTTTTGATGAAAATCTGAATAATTAGATTTTTTTTTTTTTTTTTGGTTAATTTTCAATTGCCGATAAAGTGAAAAATTCATAATTTTTGATCTATTAGCTAGATATCTAGCCAAACCATTTGTTTGGGTTATTCAGAGGGTGTGTCGCATTCGCATACACACACACACACACACACACTTTGACATAGGGTCGTTGTTCTGTATCATGTTGTAGTGGAAAAAATTTTTTTTTGTCAAGTTTAAAATTTTTGAAAAAAAAACTCGCGCGCTAGATATTTATCGTTCTGTTTTTTTTTCTTTCTTGAACTAATCAATCTTTTTTTTTCTTACTTTTTTCTTTCATTTGATCTAGGTGAGAAAGTTGACAGGCCAAAATTTCTTCTTCTTCTTCAATTCATTCATTCAGTTTTGTTTTGTATAGTGGTTGTTGTTGTTGTTGTTGTTTCATTTCTATTTCTAAAATACACGTTTTTGTGTTGTTTGGTTGTATATTGTATATTGTATTGTAACAATTTCAAACATAAGTTTTCAATCATATTTTCTGTCCGGTTTCTTCATCTTGTTGTTTATTATTGTGTGTGTTAAGCTATCAAAAAGTCATTATCATCATCATCATCATCATCATCATCCATTGATAAATAACGATTTCCAATCTAGTGAGAGAAATACACAAATGAAGATCCAATAGATAGGTATATATCATTAGGTCATTTGGGGGTATCACCCATACAAACAAACAAAAAAAAGGTAATCGATCTCTTTCTCGATATTTTTTTTTTTGTCAAAAAACTTCAAAACTACTATGAAATTATATTGATCATTTTGAAGATTTAGTTTGTGGATAATTTACATTTTTTGTTGCTGTTTTTGTTGTTGTTGTTGAAAAAAACACGCACACAGATAAATCTTTTTTTGCTCTTTGGTGATATTCAAATATAGAGGACACTATCTATCTATCTATCTATCTCAAGGGACAAAGATCTATTAGAATCTATTTACAAGTAATGATAATTTTTGACATTTGTTTGTTCCACTTTTGTGTGTGTGTGTGTGTTTAATATAGGAACACAAGCATAGAACGTATTTGTCCATGTTTTTTTTTTTTTTTTGGTCATCTCATATTACCATTTTTCGGCCATTCTTTAATATTTTTTTTCTCACTTTGTGTGTGGTTATGTTTTGTTTGACCAATAATAACAACAACAACAACAACATTACAATACAATAGATAAACGGAACAAATGTTGTTGTTCAAAATAACGTGTGTGTGTGTGTGTGTGTGTGTGAGAATATAATAAATGATTTTTTAATTATTCTGTCTGTTTTTTTTATAATAAATGATATAAATTATAAAACCATTTACCTACCCTACTACTACCCTACCTATGAGTGTGTGTGTGTGTGTGTTTATGACACATGACCTTTATAATTTCATGGCCCTAATAATAATAATAATAATGAGATCCAAAGACCCACCCCACCTCACACACACACACACACACACACACTATTTTTCATTAATGTAGGTCGTCTTTCTTTTTTGGGTGTTTCTTTCTTTCTTTTTTTTTTGCTCATTTCAAGAATTCAATTCATTTTTTTTTTTGTTTTTGTTTATCGATTCCATTACCCAAAAAAAAGACTTTTCTGGTTTTCAGTTTTTTTTTTTTTTCTGAGAAATTTTATCCAATTTCAAGACGTTATTATGGAAATGAAACTTTTGTTTCATTGATACACATCCATTTCATTTCATGAATATTCTTGTTTCGATTCTTGTTTTTATTCTTTATTCGTTTAGTAACGCCAAAATGTTGTTATCTAATTTTTTTGTATTTTATGGAGATTATCATTGTCTTGTCCATTTCTCATTTCTCATTTCATTTCAGAACATTTTTTTTTTATAGATGTATATTGTTTGTATGCAATTGCCAAATTGTTCCATGTTGTTCCACAAATCGTATCCCAAATATACATGCACACCATCCGTTCAACAGAAAAATGGATGTGTGTGTGTGTGTGTATGTTTGGGTTGTTTGTATTTGTCTATGTTATTGTTCGTTTTTTTTTCATTTTCTCTCTCATTTGTTGTTGTTGTCGTCGTTTTTATTTGGCCTGTATGTTTAATAATAATAATTCGGACAGCCAAAGACTTTTTGTTGTTGTTGGATGATTTGATGATGATGATGATAATGGCAATGACGATGATGGCGATGGCGATGGCGACGACTACGACGACGACGACTAAAAACCCGAATATTTTATATGAGAAAAAGAAGAAAAAAAAAAAAAAAAGGACGATGAACGAACGAATGAACGAACGTATGTATTTATTTCTTTCCCTCCCATGTAATCCATCATTGTCCACGACAACCAGAAATGAAATGAAATGAAATGAAATGAAAAAAAAAATTTTTCGTCGACAAAGACTATGACGACGACTACGACGATCAAATGATGATGATGAAGACGATGATGGTGATGATGATGACGGCAAAAAAAAAAAATATAAATACACGCAGAGAAAACACAGAATGAACGAAGAGATATTGAACCAAAAATATACAGCCACGAATAATAAGAAAACAAAAAAAAAGAAATGAAATGAAATGAAATGAAAACATTCAAACCATCATCATCATCATCTGTTGTGACTGAAATCCAAGAATTTTCTTCTGTTTTTTTCATCTTCTTTTTCTTTCTTGATTTTGATTCGATTCAGTGTTTTTTTTTTTTTGTTTTGGTTTTGGATTTACATTTGGATTTGATTGGATTCGTTTCGCGTCCATTGTTTATTTCCATTCAAGATTCAATGATGATGATGATGATATAGTGGTATAATCATTTGATATTTGTTTCAATTAGTTTAGTTTGTTCGCCCAAAACAGGACATTTGTTTGTAATAATAAGTGAAATTAAATTCATGGATGTTACAATATTTTTCTTTTCTATCGTTTCGATAATGATACACGACAATTTTCATGGTATCACGAACCTTTGTGTGTGTGTGTGAATGAATCCCAACGTAAAAGAAAAAATCTATAAAGAAATCACAAATAAAAATGAAAAAATTCATCATCATCAAAATTGATCACGACATGATTGCCATCTTTTGTATGAAAATATTAATATTATTCCGATTTAGTTCGTGACCATTATCACTTGATGGCAGCACAGTTTTGTTATGAATGAAAAAATACACATAAGATTGATGAATATTCAATCGATGATGATGATGATTCGTTCAAAATAGCAAGAATTTTTTGTTTTCAAAATTTAAATTTTTTCTTTATTTATTTAAAATATCATCATCATCATCATTAATAATGAAAGCGTGAGATAAAACTTGTGCCCTAAAGAAGAAGAAGAAGAAGAAGAAAACGCGATTTCCAGAAAAAAAACAAACAAACAAAGACTATAAATGACAAATATTAAAATTGAATGTTTGTTTGTCATTAGCAAATGAGAAATTCATGAAATAAATAAATAACCACCACCACCGCCGCCGCCTCCGGTAAAATGGATATTTCCATCATCATTTGTTCAAAAGTGTTCATTTTAATCAATTGAAAATGTTTTATATTATATTTACATAAGCAAGCAAAGCAAAGCGAAAAAAAAGATGAGAGAAAAAAAAATTCAACTAAAATTTTTCATTTCTAAAATTCATTCCAATTGATAATAATTAAGACCAACACCGCCAATTATTTCATTTGTTGTTGAATGTTGTTGTTGTTGTTGTTGTTGATTATAACTATGGCCAGTGTTGTTGTTGTTGTTGTTGTTTTGTAATGATGTATTCTGTAAGCTAAACATTGTCGATGTTGTGTTATTATTATCATTATTATGAATTGTATCATATGGTTGCTGTTGATGATTGGTAATTGTATATTGATCACAATATTGTTGTTGTTGTTGTTGTTGTTGGTGGTGGTGGTGATGTTGATTATGGCCATATTGTTCATATTGTGATCCAATAATCATCATACGATTATTTTGTTGCATCAATGATGTCTGTATACTATTCGGTGATGATGCCTGACCAATCGATGATGATGATGTCGATGTTGATATTGAACCGCAATCTGAATTATAATAACAATTTTCATTATATCCATGATGATTATATTGATTTATTGGATTATTTGGTTGCTGTTTTAATGTTGTTGCCGAATATTCTGATGGTATACGATGATAATGATGTTGTTGTTGTTGATGTTGTTGATGTGGATTTGTTGTTGTTGTTGTTAAACAAATTTCTGGATATTGATATTGATTCATTGTTAGTGGATATGATGGTGGCAATGATTTTGTTGTTGTTGCTGTTGGATCGGAATAATTATAATTTCCAAATGAATCATAATGATAATGATGATCTGTATATGTTCCGGGTGTTGAATTCATTGTTGTATATGAATCATATTGATTTAGACATGGTGATGTTGTCATTTTTGTTCTAATATTATTAACGGTGGTTGTAGTGGTCACTATTGGATAGGATATTGATGGATCACAGTTTGCATTATGATGAGTAATATGATGTTGAGAATTTGTCGTTGATGAATAATCATTTTGATTATTATGATTATATGATGACTGATCATCATATGAAATTGATTTTGTTGATGATGATAATGATTCACATGATGGTGGTGAAAAACATTCCGATTTTATCATCGATGATGATGATGCTGATGATGATGATGGCAATTGTTGTTGTTCATGTTGATGATGATATGAATCGGTAAAATTATATGATTGATTTGAATGTTGATGACCATTTTGATTGATTTGATTCGATATTGTTGTTGTTGCTGATGGCGATGTTGGTGGTGGTTGAAGATGAAATGATGCCGATGTTGATGATATTAATGTTTGATGATAAATCATTTGTCTTTTCATCTGTTGTTGTTGTTGTTGTTGTAGTGGTGGTGGTGGTGGTAATTGATTTTCTACATTACAATCATCATATCTATAGCTACTACCATATTGACAATCAGATTTATTATTATTGACCATTGGAATTTGACAGTCCGCTGTTGCTGATGATGATGATGATGATAATAATAACATTTTTGAATTGATCATTGGTGATGTACAACTACTATTGCTACTGTTATTACGTATCGATAATGGATTCTTATGATCCACTTGTTGTTGTTGTTGATAATTATTCAATTTACCATTGAATAATGTTGTTGTTATCGATGATGCTGGTGATCGATCACCTGATAGTGCTGATTGTAATAAATGTCCAGTTGCTGCCATTGTGCTTGTGGTTGTGGTTGTTGATGGTAATATCGATGCCGTTGTTGTCGTTGTTATAGTTGTTGATGATGGTTTCAATAAACAACAATCCGTTGTTGTTGTTGTTGAATTGATCATCATCATTTGATGATTCTTGATTTTTGATGATCTGGAACCTGATGACTGTGCAACATAACCACAATCGATATTACCACAATGATTTTTGTTATTATTGCTGTTTATTGATTGTTTTTTCCCTGTACGTTTGTTTCCACCTGTGCGGCCACGTGTTTTTGGTGTTGTTGATGATCGAACACTGGTGATCGGTAATGATGATGATGATGATGATGATATGATCATATTTGACGATGGTTGAATCATTGAATTTGTATTCGATAATGATGACATTGTTTTTGTCGTAGTTGTTGTTGTTGATGTCGCTATTGTTGCAATGGAATCATCGCAATTCTCAAATTCTGATGATGCAAATATTTTTCCACGCGGATCATTGGCTGTGGTCATCGATAATTTTGATTCATTAGAATTACATTTCATAATTTTATTCATTTCTGTTTCATAACCATTTTCATCCATTAATTCATCATCGATGTCATCATCATCATCATCATCATCATCGTCAACGTCATCATCTGATCCAATATCATTGCATGATGATGTTTTTGATGAACTTTTTTCATCTGTACCCGTTTTACTATTGTTATTCTGTCGTTTATATTTCATTCTGTATGTGGGGGAGGAACGAAGAAATGAATAAGAATTTATTAAATCAATTACACAACAGAAAGAACAGATTTACCTTCGATTCTGGAACCAAACTTTTACCTGACGTTCAGTCAGATCTAATGATGCGGCAATCTCAATCCTTCGTGGTCGACATAGATATTTATTATAATGAAATTCTTTTTCCAATTCTAATAATTGTGTATTTGTATACGCTGTACGTAGCCGTCTTGGTGTGCTGCCTGATTCACCTAGACATCATAATAATAATGAATGAAAATAAATAGTGCACATTAATTAATTTGAAAATCTGTAATGATGATGATGATGATGATGTAATCAAAACAACCAGTAAAGACAGGAAAAAAAATGATAATGATAAATGATGATGTATATGGTGTTTTTGTTGTTGTTCCATGAAGTAGAAAACATAATTAATTATGTCCTTAACCTATTAGTTTTTGGTGATAATCATCATCATCAACATGCTCATTCATTATTCATTTATTTATGATTTGATTAATTAATCGTGTGTGTGTGTGTGTTTATCAGATGAATGTGATGAAATCTTAATTAACATCATCGTATCGTATTCATGTCAATCAATCAATAATCTAGAATCATCTCATCTATTTGCAAATACACATGTTTTTGTTGTTTTCTCCATACATATGTAACCTAAGGGGTTACATAATATCATCAAACGAAACGATTGATTTGATGAAATAATGTGAGACAAGTTTGTTTTTTACACGCATTCACAGTGATTTTTTGTATGCAAATGATGATGAGAACCATGTAATTTTCTTTTTTTTTTTCGTTGTTGTCAGCATTGAAACGAAGAAACGAAAAAATCACCCAAATAACTTGGGATTTTATTATTGTCAAATTTCATTATTTTTGATGATTTGATGATTTGAACCTAATAATTAATTTTTTGTTTTATTTCGTTTTACAATTTACCTTGAAGCAAACTGTTTGTTTGTTTGTTTGGCTTTGATATAAATGATGATGATGATGATGAATATTGCTCAATAGCTTGAAGGTGAATTTACATCTTCACCAATCGATTGATGTGTTCAATTCTAATCAATGGATATATGTTTTATTTTCACACACACAACAACAACAACAACAAAAAATCGACTCATAAGAGCATCATCCAGTGATCACAATTAATCATTTTCGATTGAATAAACTTTGTATGTCTGATAATTTTTTTTTGTTACGAGAAAAAGAGAAAAACACGACAAATGATAATGATGCTGATATAGAGTAACTGAATTTTTTTTTGCAAAAAAAAAACAAAAAGGAAACGCGTGCCGTTTGTGTGTGTGTGTGTGTGTGTATTCAGCAGAAAGGAAGTCAAAAAGGATGGGAAGGGAAAAAAAAGGGTAAACATCCATGCATTCATCCACGGGGTTGCGTTAGTCATCATCATCCCGTATCCGTGTAAAGTAACCATATTCCGCTGGGTTCTGTTACTGTTGCTGTTTGTTATGTTAGTCACTGTTTTGCGATAAGACTGAATTTTTAGTTATTTGCTTTGTTTATTATAGTTTTTTTTTGCTCTCCGTATCTGATCTGATGATGATGATGATGATGATAATAGAAATTGAATGAAAACTCATCTCTGTGTGTGTGTGTGTGTAGCAGCGGTATCTTTGTGAATTCACGGGCGACAGGGTATGAAAAAAAATAACCAAAGAGTTTAGTTCTGAACAACCAAAAAAAAAAAAAATCCAATGATTTTATTCTTGTCTATTTCATATGGAGATAGAATTTTGTTATGGGGAAGGCAATACAACAACAACAACAGCGTGTATTGTGATTTGAAATAAAAACGACAATGATGATTATGTGGATGCGTGTACAAACAAACAAAAAAAAAAAAATGTGTGATTTATGTTTGTGTGTGTGTGTGTGTGTTGCATGGATGATTTTTTTTTTCATGACGAAAGATTCGTATGATGAACAAAAATCTATGTCATTTTTAGCTGATGTGAATAGTAATCTGTGGCATTTTTTTTTTACAGAATATTCTTCGCCTTGAATCAATGAAATGTCTTTGTTTGTATTTGGATGGTGAAGAATTTGTGCCATGGTTTTTTTTGTTGTTGTTGTTGTTGTTGTTTATCATCATCGCCTTTGAGGCAAATTTGTGAATATATGGTTAAACTGATAGGAGAGAGAGAGAGAGAGAAAAAAAAACAACAACAACAAGGTATCCATTATATGCTCTTATCTTAAGATGTTGACAATAACCAAGTAAAAAAAAACAAAAACAAAACCGGAAGAGATAAAAACAATTTTTTTTTCGCTCATCTACACTTTATTTTGGTTTCATTTCATTCGAAACAAAAAAAAAACGCCACATACACCGGAAATTTCCTACACTGGGAAAAAAAATTCTGGTTAAATTCTTTCGAAACAAATTGTGTGAAAATTTTTTTTTTCGAAATAATTTAGCCAGAATTACAATGTGCCCACCTTCTTCCTATTTTTACTTTGACGTTGGGCGTGTCTGCTGCCGATTGAAATCATCATCATCATCATCATCATTGAATGATAATATTTCATTTTTGAATTGATGCATGAATCGGAAATTCTTTTTTACACAAAACAACAACAAGATTTATGATAAATTTTTCTTGAGCATCATCATTATTAGTTGAGATTCAGATAGAATAAAGAATAGACAAAAAATGAATGAAAACTAAATTCCAGATGATCAATTTTGCGAATGAACAAGGGAAGTCGAACGTTTGATCCTGATTGTTGTTTCAACACCAAACAAAACAAAAATCGAAATCGAAATCGAAATCCCGGGTCAAACCAAAAATTTTCTCTTTTCCCGACCATCAAAAATATGGTGACAACAAAAAAAAAAAATCGTCAATATGGGACGTGACGACAACAACAAATTGAACAAAAAAAAAACCCGACCGACCGACCAAAGAACAAGTAACAATAAATAATAATAACAACAACAACAACAACAAATACGAGAAATTCTTCATTCAGTCCGGAAACGGAAACTTGTTTTCAAATCATTTCTTTTGTTATTGCCGATTGTTGTGTGTGTGTGTGTGTGTGTGTGTTGTGGTTGGTGTTTGTGTGTGCTGCATATTCGTTCGTTTTTTTCTGTTTTGTTTTTTTTTGGTTATTGTTGTCGTTGGATTATTAATCAAACTGAATTTTTTTTTCTTTTCCTCTATATATACCCTTTTTGTCGTTGTCATTGAGATGGTTATGATGATGATGATGATGACGACGATTGCGAAATATTGTCTACGATCAATCGATTTATCAATATGATATTTTCATTGCAATGGGAAAAAATATGAATCAATTTCATTGGAATTGAATATCTCGAGAACACAATTCTGACTTGAAAACAGAAAAAAAAAATTCTAATAGAAAAAGGTGTGATTTTGTAATGCAAATACCAAGATATATTTTCAGCTTCAAGATGTCTTAATGTGTTAATCTCTTGAATCAAAATGAATGAATATTCATTCATTTTAGACATCAGATCAGAAATTCAACAACAAAAACAAAAAAAAACTCATCATTCTGTATTGAGAGCAAATTTTTCATTCATTTCATCATTTTTTTTTTATTCAATGAAATATGATACTTTTATTCATTTATCAAACAGACAGAAACACTTGTTGTTTTTTTTGCGTAGACATATATATCAAGAAATTCAAGACCTATATATGTATGTTTTACATGATGATGATTGTTACATATAAAAATGACATGATGATCATTTTTGTTGTTGTTGTTGTGACATGAAAAAATACAAACACACACAGCATTTGAAATTTCGGTAGCCAGAAATATTTTTGTTAAATCAGAAAAAAAAGTAATAAAACATTGAACATTATTATTGGTGTGTTTTTTTTTTTCTTGTTGAAATTTTTTTTTCTTTACATTTTCAGTTCCGGTAACGTTTTTTTGCATTTTCTTATTCTTCTTTCAACTATGATTGTATATCATTCAAGTAGCCAGGTCATAAAACAAAAAAATTTTTTTTTTTTTTTTGTTCTGAAGCCACCAACACATCAAACAACGAATTGTTTGTGGCTATTTTTGTCCATTCTGTTTTATTTTTATTTTTTTTCTACGTTAGCTTCGAAACGAAAAAAAAAATTTTTGTCGGTAAAATCTCAAAGTTTATTTCGAAGGAATGTGTGTCATATGGTCAAAATGAAAGAATTTTTTTTCCATTCTATTTCCCACATTATTGTTAATTCTGATTCTAAGATTTTTGGCTTTTGAAAAACAAAACAAAAAAAATGACGACAAAGAATAAGCTTTATGGCCGTGAATCATAAAAAAAACGATTGATTGCCTTGAAAAAAAAAAATAATCTGGTCCCTTTTTTTCGGGTAACTATGACATTGACAATTATATTGTGTATCTATGTGTGTGCATGGATCATCAAATGATTACCGAAAACAAAAGAAAAACCACCTGTCATTCGTTTTTTTTTCTCTACGCAAAAAAAACATCTTGACCCTTTTTTTCCTAAAAATGTTATGGCCCAAAGGGTTTCTTGTTTTTTGTTTCCAATGTGGAAACCATGTTTGCCGACGTACGACACTTGGTTTTTTTTTGCTGGGCTTTTTTTTCACATTCTAAGAAGCTTAAAATTATTCAAATGAATCAAAAATGACGATTGACAACAAGCAAGCAAATAGCAAACAGAAAGCAGCAAAAAAAAATGTCACCGACAATGATGATTATTTATTTATTTATAAAAATAGAAACATATCTATCTGCCATTAGTCGACGAGAATTGTGAAAAACCGAAAGAATGAAAGCGCAGAATGAATAATCTTTTTTTTTCGTTGTTTCGGCATTCAACAATGGAATTAAATATTACGATGATGATGATGATTGGCAGCCATCTTGATGATCATTGATTATTCATTGTATACGAACCGAAAACGAAAAGAAAAGATTCACAACAAAATATGAACAATTTTACGGATCAATGGCAATGATTTTTTTTCTCTCTAATCCTTTTTTTTCGGGCTGTGTGATTGAATCGATTTGGTTTGGATTTTTTTTCTTTTTGTTTTATGTATCGTAACCGTGAATTGTATCGTAATCGAATCGCTAAAAATTCACAAACAGACAGACAAGATAACCGTTACCAATAATGTGTTAATTAAATACATCAGTTTTTTTTCTGTCTTTTGGTTCCCATAATTTTTTTTTTTTTTTTTTTGGTGGGAAACCAAAATGTTTTTATTCAATCTGGTAATTTGAATCCCCAGTTGGATCAAATTAACACATGTGTGTGTGTGCGGTGTTGGTATAAAAATTCATTCATAGCTACTGAAATATAGGTTTGGTTTATGGCCATCGAAAAACAAAAAAAAAATTGGTCAAGGTTTTTTCAATTACGAACAAAAAAAAATTTCTCATTGCTTGTGATGAGTAATTGTTTTTCAATAAACATATGTGATCAATGAAATTGACCAGATAATACCGGTTAAGCACACGATTTTTCGGTAAAAAATTTGAAATTTACCGGAATTTTTCCTCTATTAATATCATGTGTGTGTGTGTATGTGTCGGTAGTTATTATCACGACGATGATAATGATCATTAACACTTGTAATAATAACAACAACAACAACAACAATCATCACCCAACATCATCATCATCATCATTAATCATTCTTGCAAACAAATTCTCTTTCTGTTGATTCATGTGTTGTAAATGAGTCGTAATAAATTTTTTAATGTTATTTTTTCTTCGTGTTTTTTTTCATTTTTCATCATATCAAATTCAATAGAAAACTTTAAATTACGATTTTCATACAAACAAACAAACAAACAAAGTGTTGAAAATCTTCAATGAATTCTATCAATATATAACAAACCTTGATGTTGTTGTTTACGGGTCATTTTTTTATCCTTTGTAATCCATGCAAAATTATCTGATGATTGCTGTTGCTGTGTTTGCTGTGGTTGTTGTTGCTGTGGCTGTTGAGGCAGTTTTACATTTGTTGATTGACATACTATTAATTGTGATAAATTAGTACCATCATTTATGATTGATGATTGCTGTTGCTGCTGCTGCTGCGGATGTTGTTGTATATTATTATTGTTTGATAAAAATTCTGTAATTGATTCAGTTTTAATAATTGCCGATGATGATGATGATGATGATGATAACATTGTATTTTGATTCTGTTGATTTGTTACAGATACTATTGCTGCTGCTGCTGATGCTGTTGATTGTTCATTTGTTGATGAGATCAATGTTGATGTTGACGTTGATGATGGTGATGATGGAGATGTCAATGACTGTGGATGCTGTTGTTGTTGTTGTTGTGGATTATTTGGTGATAATGATGATGATGATGGTAACATTGTCATTGGAGGTAATTGTTGTTGTAGATGGTCACTAGTACTACTATTTTCAATTGGATAATTTGTCATATGATAATTTAATGTTTGAATTATTGATTGACAAGTTGATGATGATGATGAATCGGGAATTGTCATTGATGATGATGATGATGATGATGGTTGTTGATTGAGCATCATTATCGTCGTTGTTGATGATGATGTATCATTCGATGATGTAGATGATAATGTTGGTGATGATGACAATGATGATGATGATGATGATGAAAGGTGATGATGATGATGATGATCATGAAATGATATTGATTGATTATTAGATGATTGACATTTTATAGATAAATTACATGATGATTGATTCGTTGTTGTTGTCAATGTTTGTTGATGATGAATAATGAATGGATTTTCAATTTCCATATTTTTTTGTTTGTTTGATTGTTTATTTCACACACCATTTGGAAGGAGAAAAAAAACCAAAAACAAAACAAAAATTTTATTATGAATCGATTGCCTTATCCAGAATCCAATCAATCAATTGTTTTTTGGACTATATTTTTTTGATTAATTAATTTGATAATTTTGAACACAAATTTCCTGGCACCAATACAGAATATTATTTATAGAATGAAAATGATAAAATCTGATTCGTTTTTCTCAGAGACTTTTTATTTTTATTTTTCTTTTCTGTTGTGGTTCATTTATGTTGCGATTGGGGAGGTTTTCTGAATCGGATTGGAAATTCAGAAATACAACGAAAAAAGATACATCCAAAATGAAACGAAACGAAAAAATTTTTGCCTGAATTGATCAAACACACAACCATCAAGTACCGTCCCAGCTGTCAAACTGTCAAAAATAAAAATAAAAATAAAAAAATTTCTATTCGTTTCTCGTCAATTCTCGTCAATGTGTTTTTTTGGTTGGTCAGACGATAAAAATATCTGTGTGTTTCACACACACACACACACACATACACATGAATTGACAACGAACGACAGTGAAATGAAAAGTTGGTTCACGCCGGTTATATTTGCAAAAACATTGATATTTCAATTTTTTTTAGCCAATGCAATATCCATTGACGCGCGTGTATGTTTTGTTTAGCCAAAAGCATAGCAAACAACAAACATATCATAAGGATTTTAGGCTGTTTTTTTCTTGTCTTGCTGTCCAACAACAAAACAATATGATTTGTTCATTACATATATGCTCTATCTGTGTGTGTGTGTTTATATCTATTTTTTATTGTTGTTGTGGTCAATACACGCACGCACATTATAATGATAAAAATTCGTGAAAAAAAACGTGGTCGTCGTCGTCGTCGTTGTTGTTGAATTTGTCCCAATGATGATGATGATGATTATTGTTATTATTAGATGAAAAACAGACTAGGATTTCAATATAAAGAATTCAGGATTTCCAAACCTAGTAGTTATGTTTTTTTTTTTTTTTTTTGAGATTCGTATTTCATTCACGAACCCGATCATAGATTTTCATGATGATGATGATTTGTTTTTGGCGAGAAAACTACTGTTTTTTTGTTTATCAAATAGGAACCGGATATATTCATATATATGTAAAAACAATCAATCATTCAATGTTGATGAAATTCATATAAACAGACACATGTTGCACACACACACACACACACATTATTATCAATATAGTTGTGGTTGTTTTTTTTTCTGGTCGGCAAAATTCAATGAATTATTATTTTATCCAATATGTTTAGTGGTGGTGGTGGTGGTCATCATCAGGTGGGTTGTGATTGTAGGGTGATGATGATGATGATGATGATGATTGTCGTCGCCGTTGTTGTTTTCGTTGTTGTTGTGGTTGTGGTTGTTCATTATTATTATCCCACCTATTTATTATTCATCATTAGATTCTGATGATGATATATGTAAATCAAATACACTCAGTCAAAACATTGCACCAAGAAAAATAAAATAGTGGACAAAAATTCATTGAATTCAAACCTAGCACTATATTTGTGTTTCAATTCTTTCTGATTGTATGTATTCAAATTCTGTTATATTGCTGATGATCACCCACTTGATGTTGCCATCATTATATCTACATACATGATTATCGATGGATTCAATTATTAATCAATGATATATATATATGATGGTTTATGTGATGTATGTGATGTGATCACACAATTGAATTTGAAAAATAGAAAATGATTGAAATGATGAACGCGACAACGATTCATTCAATCAACGAATTATGGATGAATGAAATGTGTGTTTGTGTGTGTGTGTGTGTGTATGAAACAGCATTGTTATAGTAGTGTGTGTGTGTGTGTGAAGTATGAAATGAAAAGAGAATGGAGAAAAAAAGATCTAAAGGATGTGTCTACGAATGTTGTTCAAACACATAGACAAACATACACACACACACACACACAGACATTACTCTTTTTTTTCCAACATTATTCGGGTTTTTCTTTCGTTTTTTGTTATTGTGTATATATATATGGTATATATCTATGACACCACCAAATCTAAACCACCGTACATACAGAATGTTTGTCTGTGTGTGTATATATATGTTGTGTTAACAATGTGCGCGCGTGCGGAAACTCTAAAATACGGGAATTCTGAATCAAAAAGTTAGAATAAAGGTTGTTTTGTTTTGGTTTCTGTTGTTTGATGAATGATGAAAATTTTTAAAATATGACGATGGATAGATGAATGAATGAATAAAACCCAAGTATAAATTGAATAAGTGGATTTTTTTTTCTGTTCGTTTGTTTGTTTGTTTGCCAAGCTTGTATGAAAAATCCAGTTGTAAAAAAAAGTTGATTTATGGAATCCATTTTTTTTTCTCTTCCTATCCACCCCATCCCACTACTAAATGTAAGTAAAGTGTTAAGAGAAAAAAAACTTTTCGTTCCACACACACACACACACACGTGTATGTATCCAATGGCCATAAATTTATCAATTCTTGATAGGATTCTGATAGGATTTTTTTTTGTTGTCCTTCATGTTGTTGTTCGATTTATCAAGAAATCACGATGAGATGTTCATCATAATTATCATCATGTGAGAATGTTCGATCGGTATATTGATTTGAATCGATAATGGCCACACATGAATGATTTTTTTTCTCTTCAAATCGATTGTGATTGATTGAAAAACTAATTTCATTTGAATAAATGAAATGAATCAAAAGAAAAAAAAAAAAAAATTACCTGCATATTGAGAATGTGTGTGTGTATATTATAATTTTATGACATGATCATGATCATGATGATGAAACAATGATCAATTCAAACAAACAAACAAATTTTTTTCGTCTTCTTCTTCTTCTTCTATTGACTGAAACATATAATCAAAAAGACGACGACGAAAAAAATTGATGCTTAAAATCTCATGTAACAATAAAGATATGATGATGATGAATGAATAAATGAATGAGATATGCAAATCAATATCCATGATGAATGAATGAATGAATGATAATTAGCTTTAAAAAAAATGAAAAGTGTTAACATTTTTTTTCCAACAACAGGGAAATACGAAAACAAGGTGTTAATTAAACAAAAATCGTGTGTGTTCACTTATTTTATTTTTTTTTTTTTGGTCACTAACTAAATCATCAATTCTTTGAATCCGGCATAGGTTATTTGTATCATGATTTTTGTTGTTGTTGTTGTTGTTGTTGTTGTTGTTGTTGTTGTTTTGTTTGATATAATTTTTCCAGGAAATTTTTTGCATGTATGAAATGTCAAATTACTTTTTTTTCTTGTTTATCGTCGATCAAAAATCAATCGAAAAAGTACATACGAACTGAAACGAAACGAAATTGAAGAAGAAGAAGAAGAAGACGAAAAAAAATGTAAATGTTTTGGTCACGCAATTGTGTGTCTGTGGGCAAATCATAATGTTTTCAATGCTGATCATGATGTTGATGATTTGACAAAGTTTGTTTCGGCTCACAAATCACACACACACATCATCATCATCATCATCATCATCAACATCGATGTGAATTTTGAATAAATCTAAAAAAATGAACTAAAAATGAACTATACAGTACTGTACTGTGAAATGGTTGAATGTTAAAATGAATGTGATTTTTTTTTTTTTTTTTTTGTTTTGTTTTTTTAGTTGATCAAAAATCAACTGATCCGTTCCATTCTGTTAATGATGATGATGATGATGATGATGAAACAATGTTTGAAACAGCAGCTACAACAGCAGCAGCAGCAGCAGATAGTATCGCTCCGTTGGTCATGGATTGACATTGGATTGAAAATTGTTTTTTGTCTGTTTTTTCCAGGAAAAACAATTTTCAATCCAATGTCTGCACAAAAATTTTCTGTCTTTTCTTGATCCAATAGACATACATATGTATTGATGAGAACAACGCACTCAACATACATAATGTGATTGAATTGTTGTTGTTTTTTTTTATTTAAATTCAGAAAAAAATATTATTCATGAATGATAATCATAGTTTTCACACACACACACACACACACTTACAAGATGTTTATATACGTTATAATTTGAATATGAAACGTTTGATTTTATGATTTATGTAAATGCAAACATGATCATCATTATTGCGATACAATTTTTCAAAATCATAGGTGTTCCATTTGGTCATTAGTTTGTTTTGTTTTTGATTTGATTTGATTTGATTAATCCTTTAGTCACCAAGATGCATAAATCAATGTTTGATTTATTTTACATTATTATCATTGCAATTGGTGACACTTGTCATCATTATCATTTTTATAATCATAATAAATGTGGCTGTTAACCCTTTTTTCGTGCATTTTTTATCGCTAATTATACATTTCATTTGATTGTTTATATATTGATTTGATTAA